GAGTTCAACCTCGACAATCCCAGCAGCCGTACTGGTTTCATGTATCGGGACGCCATGCATAATGTGGAGCAAGGCTACAGGGCGCCAATCTAAAAGCGATGGCGTACCGAGACGAATGCTACCCCGAGAGACTGCGATCCAGACAGGCCGCCAAACCGCCTCAGATCCAGATAATACAGGATATTGTGCTGGTAGCAAGCAAGGAAACGACAGAGCAGACGCACACGACTTCCGACGAGGAATTCGAAATTATTGACGAATGGCCACAAGATGTGGAGAGAGAGGGAACCGTGATGTCAGTGGAGTTCCCGAAGAAGTCATCACCTGACTCGGACGGCCTGGAGCTGGTGGATTTTGACACCCTGCGGGAAATCGAAGGAGAATTTGGTCCACCTAAGGAGGTCGCGAGTGTCGATGACACCCTACCGTTACGTGCGAGAGAGGAAGATTCGCAAGAGGCAGCGTCACCCCCTAAGAGGGAACCGACCCCTGAACTCCCGGCGGCAGCACGCAGGCGCCGTCAGAGACGGCAACGCGCCAAACGGAACTGGGAGCAGGGGCGCGCATACCCAGCCCCGTGATACACAGCTGAGATTTTTTTTTTTTTTCGGATGGAATCCAATTTTAACGTCTGAGATCAGTGAGGGGGCAGTAGAGGCGGAGTAATTCTAGTTTCGTACTGAAACGTGTCTAGACTCACGGGGAGTAGTATGGCCTCGTCGAAAATACCGAAATATTCGAAACAGGACTCGAGATGATTTCGGGATCAGTAGAGAGACGGTGGAGGCGGCGTGGTTCTAATTTCGTAGTGAAACGTATCTAGAACCACAGGAAATAATATTGTCTCGTAGAGAGAATCGAAATACCCGACGCAATACTAAGGATAATTCGGGGCCAATATAGGGGCGGTGGAGGCGGTGTGGTTCTAGTATCGTAGTGAAACGTGTCTAGAATCACAGGCACGAGTTACGGCCTAGTTAAAAATACCGAGATATCCTACACGGGATTGAAGATAATTCGGGAATCAATAGAGAGGCGGCGGGGGCGATGTGATTCTAGAATCGTAGTGAAACGTGTCTAGAATCACAGGTACTTAGTACAACCTAGCTGAAAATACCGAGATATCCTACACAGGATCGAGGATAATTCGAGAATCACTAGAGAGGCGGCGGGGGCGGTGTGATTCTAGTATCGTAGTGAAACGTGTCTAGAATCACAGGCACTAGTACGACCTAGCTGAAAATACCGAAATATCCTACACAGGACCGAGTATATTTCGGGATTCAATAGAGAGGCGGCGGGGGCGGTGTGATTCTAGTATCGTAGTGAAACGTGTCTAGAATCACAGGTACTAGTACGTCCTAGCTGAATATACCGAAATATCCTACACAGGACCGAGGATAATTCGGGAATCAATAGAGAGACGGTGGGGGCGGTGTGATTCTAGTATCGTAGTGAAACGTGTCTAGAATCACAGATACGAGTTGGATGAAACTGAAATAATCTCATATGGTCGGGAGATACGGAACCTGGGTGAATTCAGGTTGAATGGAGACGGGGGCGGTGTGAAACTAGTGGCGTAGTGAAACGTATCTAGAATCACAGACAGAAATTTGATATCACTGGAAAATATGTCCGTTAGTCAGAATATAACGAAATCTTGATGAAAACAGATATATACGGGGACGGGGCGGTGTGATCCTAGTGGCGTATTGAAACGTATCTAAAATCACATGTCGTGAGCTGTTATTATTTGACAATCATCAGTCTGATTCCCTCAGTGCAGTTTGCGTACAACTACTACTTTCCAATCACCCAACCGAACATTTCAGGCACCGCGTATCGACTGACTGTCGTCACAGTTTATTGCTTACAGAATCAGTTCGCTTACTCTGTGTCGGCGCTTTTGATCTTCATGGTCATCTTTTTTTACTGCGCACCTTGAATTTGTTTTCCACGCGCATGACAGCCATGAAGAATTATACAATGCTCGACAGAAAATCGTATACACTGCTGAACATAATAAAACCCTATGACGCTGTGATGGCGCAGGTATAAGCCGCCACCTAATTTTTTAACCTGTTATTTAACTATCTCTGAAAATGTGTATAAATAAAGGACAAACGAAATAACTTCTATTAGAGTTGAACGTACTTGAGAATCAAAAAATCCAAATAACTAGGAATAAATGTTTCAGTTGTAACCACATGACAAAGACATAGTTGATACTTATTTGTTGAACTGATTCAAAATATTTGTGATATATGATGGAATTGGATGGAAATTTTGCAGGAAAATTGAAAATACAATAATTTTCATCACAATTATATATTAACATGAATATGAAAATAAGGTGGACATGTGCATAGTCTATACTACAAAACATACAAAAATAAAATACACAACTAGGTAAAAAGACTGTCTGTAAGTTAATCGAGGATGTGGCATAATCTATTAATTCATTATTCCAGATTTTTTGGGATTTTCTCTCCTCGTTTCTATAAAATAAAAATATGAGTATTGTTTCAATTTACGTGTAGTGAGGACAAATCAGATGATTTGCCCCAAAATGTCACTTCGTTTAAAAAATTCTCCTATCAAACAAGATTGAATTAGGCTCTGATATTTTGGGGCAGATCTTGTGATTTGTCCTCACTACACGTATATTGAAACAATACTCATATTTTGATTTTATAGAACGAGGAGAGAAACTCACAAAAAAATCTGGAATAATGGACAACTAGGTATGTTTCAGAATTCTCAATTTCAGGTTGGGGTTTCTCTCTTTGATACCAGTTTTCAGATCTAGATTGAGGAATTTAATTGTATAATAAATCCTTACTCTAATGAATAATGATATCATATATTCTAGGGGAAAATTTTCACAAGGCTTATTGAATTGAATTTTCGAAAGAGACTCTTTCAGATCATTCCCAATTCCCTGTTTAATTGATAAACTTGGAAAAAGTTCACAAAAAGAGTTCTCAAGGGCATGAATGTATGTTAAAAAATTCATGTTTGGCATTTGCAGGTTGCCAAATGTATCATTACTGGCATTTGGATATGCCCTGAAAAAACTGTAAATAGTGGACTCATCCAACTCAGCTACATCTTTTCCAAATTTGAAGCATGCATCACACTGGTGTTTATCCAATATTTTTTTGATGAAATAACCCCCGACATACACAAAACCATTTTTTTCAGTTATATTCATTTGGATATAGTCCCTTGTTGTAATATCACTGAGAGTTTTGAAGGGTGATTGTTCTGCTAATAAAATCTGACAGCTTTGAACAACTTCCGGTGTGATACTTGCCAAGATTTTATCAAATTCGTCTAGGCAGTTTGTTACCTCGGAATTGTCCAGATAAGTAATTCCAAACATTTTTTTGAAAGCTCTCTGAAATTGAATCGGTGTAGGATTTCTACAGTTTCCACTTTGCTGTCTTATTTTGCCAAAGAAATTCTCGAGACAGTCTTGATTCAGTCTCCTTGTATGAATTTTATGAATTTTTTTAGCCTTCAAAACTTCCCACAAACCCAAAAAAGCAGAAATTGACAATCTCCAGCCAAAATTAAATCTCATTCTTTTTGTAACATCCTTAGTGCCATTCATAATTACCAATGTTCCAAAGAATCCTAACATATCTTTCAAGAATTTAATCTGTGTTTCTGTCCCCATGAAAGGCCTATTGAAAGATTTTGCTTTGTTGAATTTAGAGGAATGGAATATGTCAAACAGATTGTCCATTTTTTCAATAAATTCGACAGTTTTTGAAGCTGCTGAAGGAAGTTTATTAAATGATATGTAAGCATTCATTGCTGCTGAAACAGAGGCACTGAAAACTTGTGCTGCATATTTGACTTTCATTTTTTGAAAATTATTTGGAAAAATGTGCATATCTGTGAGTTTGGGAGCTAAACGGAATTTTTCTTTTTTATCTGATGCATAAAATATTTCTAAGTATTTTTTATCAGTCATGCCATCTCCAAATTTGAAATTATAACTAAAAAAATTATTTCGTGTTGACTTCAGTAAATGAGGTATGTCTACCATGTAAAATACTCTCATATTATCACACATAAAGTAAGGTTTTTCAACTGATACCCCTAAGTCTCTCATTAATTTGAAAAAATTACTTCCATGATCTGATATGATTGATAGAACATTGAGTCCTATTATAGTCTTCAATTTTCTTATGGTGTCAAAAATAATTTCCTTCAGATCTTCAACAGGACAACTAGAATTAACAAAAAAATATGCTAGAGGCTGTTTCCAGTTTCCGTGGATACCTCTGGCCATCAACACCAAAACATTTTGGGCTGGCTGAAATGTTTTTTTTTGATGGAGTTTGATGGAATCCAATTATTTCATCCTGGGATAAATTATAATATAGATGTGTCTTCAAAGACATTTCATCTAAACATAAAGTACAGTCTCTTGTGTCATTGTCCAACATAGATACTTTTATTTTTAGAGCCTCAAACAAAAATTGGCTGAAACCTGGTCTGATATTCCATTTCGCAGTTATCTTCTGAAGAGTACTTCTTGAAGGTAATCTAAACATCTTCGAAAGAAACTTATAAGCTTTTGGACCCAAGAAATGAACAGTTAATGCAAACTGCTTATATTCGTTCGAGTATCTAGAACCTTTGTCAGTTGTGTTTTTAAAAAGTTCGAAAGATTTGGTGACACATGCTCTTCTAAGAATTTACATATATTCTCTATATTCATTCCTTCTGATGTAGGAATAGGCTTTCTAGAAGATTCCTGAGAAGTACACAATCTCCTTTTGAGGTTTTTTATGGTTTTTCTCATTTCCATTTTCCTAGGAGTTCCATGAGTCAAAGACTTAGGTGTTTGAATTTCTGAAAAGAAAATATGCCTTTTTTCATTTGTGAAGTTATCTCAGTTAAATGAATAATAATTGATGAATGATAAATGTATTGATTAGAAAATTCTTCTCATGTGAAAATAAATACTCGAAAAAGTAATATTCTCAAGACATACTTTTGGATTGATGGTCTTCTTGGCTTATGCTCATTTCGGGTTTCCTAGAAGTACTAGGACTATGAAGCTCTTCTTCATCTGTTTTTGTAACTAAAAATAAAAGTTGAAGTTATGGGTTCCTTGTTTCGAGAACTAATATGAGTGAATGATGTATCGGCGAAAAGGTGCCTACCATTGAATTCATTGCTCTTATATCCATGAGAAGTAGTTGCTGACTCTAGTACATCTTCCAGCTCAACTGGATTTGAGGATACAGATGGTCCTGTAAGTACAGTTTCATTATCAGTATCACTTCATTCACCAGGAAAACATATAAAATTTCAATCAATAAAAAACATAGGATCTAAATATGCAAAATACAATGTAAATTCCTCACTATTGGATACTAAGGAAGTTACAAAGAACAACATACCTTCTAATAACTCAACTGGTATCACAGGTGCTACCGAGGGTGCTACTGCTGCTGGTTGTATAGGTATATCACTTTTTTTCAGCCGATTTTTTTGCATACTTGCAAACATCTTTTCATCAAAATGGAAACTACAGATTCTGAAGTGGTCATAACAGTATTGAGAGCTATAAGAAGCTATTTTTTCCAGTTGTAGAATAGCTTTCCATTCTGCGAACCTAGAAACATACCTTCAATTAGTATTTATTACTTCAAAATTAGAGTATCTCATTATTCACCTTCTTTCATCTTTTGGAAACCTGAAGAAAGATATGTTTTTTTCATGTCTGGAATTTTTATTGCATACACAACAGTAATGCACAGTTTTGGAAACTTCAGCCATGGTTGATGGTAAAGACACAAATTATATCAGTTCACAGTATCCAATAAACAAACTCAAATCCTCAAAAAAATACACAAATCGATCACAAAAGATTAATAACACCAGAAAATCACACGAGATATCCAAGAAATAACAAAGACTTTGAGGTTACGGTCGTCTCTTCCCAGTGTTGCCATATGATTTTGAATATTATGTTGTCAATCTTGGGAAACGCATTTTAGTAATATTGAGACTCATAATGATGTAAGTTTTTGTTTATTTTATCGTGAAAACCAATGAATACACACATGATACTTTTACAAAACTAGATTTGGAGATTTTTAAAATAATTGATTAATTTAGATGTGATGATAGGCACATATTAGTAGTGAATGTGAGTTTATGCTTAGAACAATTAATAATATTGGTATGCCTAAATGTCCGGTAGTTGATTATTAACCTTGAGTCGACCAGAAAGATAACGTTTTTTTGAAAATCCATTTTTGAGAGAGAGAAACATATGAATCCAGCTTGGGAGACTTGAATACATATTGCAATATAAGACAACAGTGTAAAATACGCAACGAATCTTCTGCGCATCCACAATTTGTTTCCCAGGAGTGGATGTGAAATATGACCATTGAATTTGACAAGCAATAAACTGTGCTGTCGTCGTCCTCTCAGCGAGCCACGTCGCTCTCTCGCTGCGGCTGCCGATTGAACGGCCAGGAGGGGGACCTGCGCGCGATGTATCCGTACAGCGGTACCCACGACTAGCCACCTCGAGTGCTGTAAATCAACTGCCTCTCCCCGATATTTTCGTTTCTCGTCTCGCCTGATCGAAACGATGCTTCGTTGGTTTCCGCCTCTGTCTCCCCATGGGATAATCAATTCAAATGATAGCTGCAATCTCGTGGTGGAGTCTTTTAGAATCGGGATGAGCAATTCCAATTAGCCAAGTACGAATTTCCCAGGAATTCGTTACAAGTTGTTCCTGCTATTGTCAGCTTCCCACATAGCAAAATAATATACCAAGTATGTTCTAAGCATATTCCTAAACGCATAAGAATATTGAGAATATATCCCTAGCATATACACAGAATATGGTTACTATATGCTGAGAATATGCTAGGTATATTTTTTTGGACACAAGTAGCATATGCTAGGAATATGCTTGAAATATATACTCTGAATATATTCAAATATTCTCAGAATATACCTATATCACCAATATAGCATATGCTATATATATGCTCAATATACTCTGTATATGTGCAGACTGGATGTTCAAGATGAATATACATTTTGGTGAGGGTTGCTGTCGTGCTACTACCCTTGCATCATATATTTATATATATATATATATATACAGGGTGTCCCAGAATATATGGGGAATCTCCAGGATTCAGATGAAACACATGAAAATAACATGACAGATTCCCATATTTTTTTCATCATACCATCCCTCTTTGGATAATATATTATGATCCAATGAAGTATACCCTTGAATTCATTAGGCCCTGCATGATGAAGGCACATAAATAATATTTCTAGACAGCTCAAGCCTTGAACAAGAAAAAATTACTCTTATCAAAATAAAATATTTCCAGGGATGTCCTTTATGGGAATGTATATTTATATATGAAGAGTGTGGTCCTAGGAAAAAAATGGGAACTTGTCATGTTATTTTTATGTATTCTATCGGGAATTCATGAGATTGCCCACATATTCTGGGACACCCTGTATATATACACTGTGTCCATAAAGTCACCCCCCCTGGTTATTTTTTGAACAGCTAGGAATTTGTTTTCAAAATTTTTCTGGTGACATGGTAGTTTAGGTACTATATTTTGACACCGATAAGAAATATGTATCTTTCAAAATATGGCGGCTGGACACCATTTTGAAAGTTTTTTTAATGGAAAGGGGGGGTCAAATGATACCTCATTTTGAAGGTCTCCCAATTCTCTATACAACCCCAGAATTTCAGATGAAAATATTCATCCAAAACAAAATGGCGGATGATAATGTTTGAAATCTCAGCTCTCAGATACATGGCTATCAGCGAAATCTCGTGTAATCTTCAATTTTTAATTGCCTCTATTAGCATCTATAAGTGTTCTCTATCCAGAAAAATGTCGGACGGGGGCCATCTTGGAGAATTTTCAGACATTGGATACAAAGTAGGTATCATCGACTATCATCTTATTTGAATATTCTCCAAGATGGCTCCCATCCGACATTTTTCTGGATAGAGAACACTTCTGGATGCTAATAGAGGTCATAAAAAATTGAAGATTACACGAGATTTCGCTGATAGCCATGTATCTGAGAGCTGAGATTTCAAACATTATCATCCGCCATTTTGTTTTGGATGAATATTTTCATCTGAAATCGTGGGATTGTATAGAGAATTAGGAGACCTTTGAAATGAGGTATCATTTGACCCCCCATTCCATTTAAAAAAAAATCCAAAATGGTGTCCAGCCGCCATTTTGAAAGATACATTTTTCTTATCAGTGTCAAAATGTAGTACCTAAACTGACATGTCACCAAAAAAATTTTGAAAAATAAATTCCCAGCGGTTCAAGAAATAACCAGGGGGGGGTGACTTAATGGACACAGTGTATATATAAAAAAATAAAGCAATATACAGGATGACCCAAATAAAATTTTCCACGGTCAAATTGGGCCACCATATCTAGACACATTGTAAGAGATGCAACATCATTATGCTCAAATAAGGTTCTAGTAGTTAGTTTCTTGGCATTTTTTGAAGCATAAATGCCATCCTCAATTATCTTCAAACAAAAGACATCAAATACTTTTGAAACATTTATAAAAAACTAAGAAATTTTCAAGCACATGTTATTGTTTTTTATTCTATTTCGGTGTCCTGGGAATGCTGCTGATTTTGAGACCTAAAAATATAATGGATTAGAACAATATACCGGGTGTCCCGGTATACATGTTACAATGGAATATTTCATTTATTTGAAAAGAGAAAGTTAAAAATTCTGAATAATCAATAAGTATAGATAATTATACATATAAGGACCTTTTGCTTTGAGCAATTCAAATATTGGAAATCACTTCTGGTTTATGAGATATTCCATTGATGGAACATGTCTACTGGGACAGTGGTACATACACTTGAAATGATAAGAATTTGCCCATGTGAGAAAATATGTTTGTTTTGATAGCAAAGACATGCGTTCTTAGCACCAATGACTTGAATCCAATGAATATTACTGACATCGCATTGCAATTATCTTACTGTACTACTAATCTTAAATGTATCATTGAAAAAAAAAATCGATGAAAAGTGATATTTGTCAAAATATTTGACAATATACCTATAGTAAGAGAACATCAGTCATCCTAGGTACAAAATTTGAAACTCACCTCTCAGTTTTCTTCAATTCATTTTTAACCCGTTCTTTAGCTTTAGCTAACCATCTCTTTACTTCCTGTATGATTTCGTCTTCACAGGCATTTTGCGTTCTTTTATTACATTGAACAGCATCTAGAATTTTTAGATATACAAGATTATATAAATAAAACATTGACTTTGTCTGCTCTGTCAGTGTACTTGCTAGCTAACTCTATGGTTGTATGTAAATTGTACTGACTTGAGCACACAAAGTCCTGCTTCTTTCAATAAAAAAATATGTACACAAACCACTTATACTTCACAGGCTGTTTTAACTAACTGTTCCTCATGAGAAAGCTTTCATTCTATTTTTTTTGTACTTTTGAACTCACCTATAACAAGTCTTGACAATGTGACATTTATAAACTTTCTTTTGCCTTTTCCGCCTTCCCAACTGTATAATTCAGCAAACTCATTGGTGATTATTTTATACAATAGTTTTCTAGTTATTTCAGGCACTGTAGTTCCTCCCATTCTGCTAAGCTCTCTTGCCTAAACAGAAGAAAACACAAATATAATAAATCTGTAAGTATTCGAAATGATCTTATTATGACTCACCAATTTTCTCAAATTCATTTCGTCACTTAAAAATTGCTCACATACAGCCAAGCTATCATCGTTATTGACTGGAAGCAACTCCAGTCCAGTCGCAGGTGTCTCATCCTCACCATTTTTTGGTTTACAGTTTTCCAAAAGATTATTCATGGCTTCTAATTGTTCATCATGCCCATTTAACTTGGCCATAATAATATTCAATTTTGTTAAAACTTGTCGTTTGAATTCTGGAAACAAAATCAAAATTAATGTGACAATAAAATACTATTAATTACTAAAACTCTTTGTCTTACTGTCTCAACAAGAAAGAAACTAATATACACTAATAAATGCAAGTTTTTTCTGCATTATTACCTTTATCATCAACAGAGTTAATTTTGTTTAAATTAGAGGTAACAAATCTTGGAGTAGAATTTCCACCTATACTCCTCATGGATGTAGGAGTACTGTGTCCATCAAGCATGATTATATCAGGACTGTCAGGGGTATCACATCTGGATTTTGTGAAATTATCAGCATTACTACATGTGGGCAGAGGAGTGCTGTCATTGATGGGGTCATCCTGATCCTGATTCAAAAAAAATATTGCATACAACATACAAGCCTATTATACATTCCATATTCCTGAGTTTAATTGAGTTAACTGGAGCTTACCCTATAACACCTGTTTGGTTTTGGAGTAACTTCAGTGTGCTTTTTCACCATCTGAAAAAAATAATAAATTTAGGGGGTAAATCCTTTGTTTTTTTTTTAAATGAACTTTTGTTGGCAAATGCTTCATTTTTGTGTTATAAATGTGACAATGTGACATTTATAAACTTTCTTTTGCCTTTTCCGCCTTCCCAACTGTATAATTCAGCAAACTCATTGGTGATTATTTTATACAATAGTTTTCTAGTTATTTCAGGCACTGTAGTTCCTCCCATTCTGCTAAGCTCTCTTGCCTAAACAGAAGAAAACACAAATATAATAAATCTGTAAGTATTCGAAATGATCTTATTATGACTCACCAATTTTCTCAAATTCATTTTGTCACTTAAAAATTGCTCACATACAGCCAAGCTATCATCGTTATTGACTGGAAGCAACTCCAGTCCAGTCGCAGGTGTCTCATCCTCACCATTTTTTGGTTTACAGTTTTCCAAAAGATTATTCATGGCTTCTAATTGTTCATCATGCCCATTTAACTTGGCCATAATAATATTCAATTTTGTTAAAACTTGTCGTTTGAATTCTGGAAACAAAATCAAAATTAATGTGACAATAAAATACTATTAATTACTAAAACTCTTTGTCTTACTGTCTCAACAAGAAAGAAACTAATATACACTAATAAATGCAAGTTTTTTTTGCATTATTACCTTTATCATCAACAGAGTTAATTTTGTTTAAATTAGAGGTAACAAATCTTGGAGTAGAATTTCCACCTATACTCCTCATGGATGTAGGAGTACTGTGTCCATCAGGCATGATTATGTCAGGATTGTCAGGGGTATCACATCTGGATTTTGTGAAATTATCAGCATTACTACATGTGGGCAGAGGAGTGCTGTCATTGATGGGGTCATCCTGATCCTGATTCAAAAAAAATATTGCATACAACATACAAGCCTATTATACATTCCATATTCCTGAGTTTAATTGAGTTAACTGGAGCTTACTCTATAATACCTGTTTGGTTTTGGAGTAACTTCAGTGTGCTTTTTCACCATCTGAAAAAAATAATAAATTTAGGGGGTAAATCCTTTGTTTTTTTTTTAAATGAACTTTTGTTGGCAAATGCTTCATTTTTGTGTTATAAATGTGTTAGATATGTTAATATGGCAATGTTTTTTTTGCTTTATCACTGCAAAATGTATCATAATAAATGAATAAAATTTTGCTTCTGATGCTGGGGTGAAAAACCCATATTTATAGGAAACATAACAAATTTTTCTAGTTATTTTTACAGTGATTCATTCCTTTATATAAGATGTTTCAGAGAAATAAACCAACAAATCTAAAAGAAACATTGGTTTACCCATAGTGATGAGAACTAAAAAAAGCATTTTTTAACTGCTCTTTATGCAAACTTACATTTATAGATTTGTTCTCTTTATTGTTACTTCTCGAATCGAAAACTGAATTCCGTTTTCTTGCCTGAAAAAATTACATTATAAAATATATTATGTGCCTATCATGTTTTCATGATAAGTTTTTATTGTCAGTGACTGTATTATGTTGATAGGTACCTGCTTAGGCAATTTTGGATAATCATCATCAGGACATTCCTCTCTTTAGTTTAGTTTAGTTTAGTTTATCTTTATTCTTCCTTAATTGACAATTGTAAATTGCATTGAAAGTCGTCACATATATGAACACTATACTATAAAACACTAAAACTAAAATACAATAGAGGTATACAATAGAGGTATGCGATAGAGGTATACAATATACAATAGAGGTATACAATTGATAAAATGCAATAAAAACATTCGTTAGAAGAGTTTTGAATTTTCTTCATATACATTTTTTAGTAAAATATAGAAAAAAGAATAGTAAAAGTATGCAGGTGTGGTTCGAGTTAAATAAAAATCAGATCTTTTCATTGAGATAATCAAATACCGAATAATAACATTTTTCTAATAGATACTGTTTCAATAATATTTTGAATACATGACTATTATTACTAGATTTGATGTTGGATGGAAGTTTATTGAATAATCTAGGGCCCATACATTTTGGAGATTGATAGCTCTTTCTGAATCACTTGACCTATCACTCCTATCTGTATCAGTGATTGGAGTTTTTATGTAAAGTCTATTTTGGATTCTCTTTCTTTTTGCTGTCTCACTTGTTGATGAAAGCTCTGATGTTTCCTCTGCCTTTAATGCCTTTTTCACAGCCATTTCGTAGGAAGCTAAAATCTGAATACAATGTAAATGATTACATATTCTCCACCATAAATTAAAAAACACAGCTAACATATTATTATTTTCAGACTTCACAAAATAAACATATAGGTACTACCTCTACACATAGTATTCAACATAAAATCATTGAATAAATTAAACCAAAAATTTGAAATAAATATTTCATACCATAATTATTTCCTAAGATAGTAACTGCATATTGTTCCCAATCAACAGCTGGTTCTTCCCTTCTTTTTACATATCCAGTAACATTTTTAGTTTTTGAAGGCCAATAACACATATCTTTGCCATCATTTGCTTTCCAAAGCCATGTGTTGGGTATGGTTGCTACAGAGTTTTCATCATCAAAAGCAATTACTGCCCAAAGATGCATCTTTCCACTAATAATTGTCAAATGGATACTGAAACTCAAGTACACTCTACCACAGTCCTTGAAATTGTTGTGTGTCAAACGGCACCTAATATGCACAATAAAAGCAATTATCAACATTATCAACTTACTTATACATTATTTACAGAAAATTAAAAATAATACAATCATGCTGAAGAAACCAAGTAAATATAGACCTACCTACTAGAGCATTTGATATAATAGGAGGTATAATAATATGAAGTATAGGTAATACCAATTATTGGGAAACTTCTTTCTTGATTAATCGAAAACTAAAGTACAAATTATTACTGGGTGCAGTGGATGATGGGAAATATCACAAAGGAATTATCTGCATTCTCATTAAGAGGTAAAATTATAAATTTTGTAATAATGTCTGTAACTAGAAAAGATAACAACTCAGATGGCCTCAATGTATTAATTATGTGGATATCTAAGAAAGAAGATTTGCATGGCTTATCAAACAAGTCTCCTACTATCTCATGTTTTACTCCAAGAACACACAGTTCATTATTTATATTATAACAAATATTTTTTACTTCCAAAATACTACTATCTAATAGCTTAACAAATCTGTTGCCAAAAGTATTGCAAGAAATTGTGAAATTATTAAAAATAACTTTCTTAAATTGGGGGTTTTTAGAACCCAATGCTAAAGGACCTCCTGAATGCATTTGAGAACAACTTGGTACAATATTGCTACTAGCTGAAGTGTCATCATGTGATGGCAAACTACTAAATAAGTTATTTTCCTCAGATAGCCTTCGGATTACTTGTGATAAAGGTTGATGAGCTTTTCTTACATATTTTAATATCTTTTGCATATAATTTTCGAAGGGGAAAGCACTGAAATTGTCAAGTGGACCAAACTTTCTACAGCAATCTGCTAAATGGATAACTGAATGAAAATTTAAAGAAAAAAATCCAAAATCATATATAACCTTAGATTTATTAATAAAACAATTAATAAGATCTTCTGCATAGTTAAGCCATGATTGGTCATATACCAAATCACTAACTAAAATAGATATGGCAATGGAAAGCACTAAAAAATTTGTATACTTATTTTTTGGCAAAATATTTTTCAGGACAACTGGTCCAGTATAGAGCAAAAATGTTCTTAATTCGCTGGCTTTATATCTTTTACTCTCCGTTATAGGTCGTGTTTTTCTAGCAAATTCAAATGGTATGAAACGAGACATCTTCTTTAATCTTTGATTAATTTTTAAAACATCAGATGCGCGAATTTTGTGTGGAGGTTTTCCAAAAATAAAACCATATTTTTTGTGGGTAATAAGTCTCTTTACTATCCCTAAACACACCAAGTGCATATAATCCAAAGGGACATTGTTTATTAAATCAAAATTTGGAATATGTTCTATTAAAGATGTCCCAATGTGGTGCTCCTCATTTAACCTTTGTCGAAAAGATCTATCAGTCCTTTTTTGGCAATTTACCTCAAGAAAGTAGACATTTCTATCACTTTCCCCTTCCACTAAACAGTTTGTACATGAAAAGTATCCTGTTGGTCCTTTAATTTGTAACAAAAATGCCTTTGCTGGCATATCACAAATTACCATTGTGATGTTGAAATTTAAAACTAAATCACCTACTAAAATTTTGCCATTCAGTTTCTGACATTCCAGTACAAAATCAGATAAAAGAATGTCTGGATGTTCAGGTTTATTTTTACCATGATATATACCAATTAAAAAAACAGTATTTTTCAACTTTTGGAATGATTTGACACAACCCAGAACAGGCCAAAAACAACTATCAGTACTTTTGCTTAAAGGTAGGCCATCAACATTAATAGCAAGGTTTATAACATCTCTATCTGTTATCTTAATACTATTGCAGGTTCTAAATAAAACATTTATGGACTTCTCAATACCAAAATAACAATAGTTCTGAGATCACTTTTCTATAAACAAATTTTCAGATGTTCTTAATAAAGTTCTGGCATCCATGGGAAATTTTGCATTAGGGAAATTTTTACACAATACATTTTTGAGTAAATCATTAAGGGCCAAATGAGAAATTTTGTTTCCAACCGCCCATTTCCTCAAATCTAGGTGTGCATCTTCACAACTTAATTTTTGGTTGTCCTTGCATGGTTTACTTATAATTTTGCTTGGAATGGGATAGGTCTCTCTTGTGTCCAGAGGATTGCCTACACCATTTGCAGGCAAAGTAAATGGTTTTATTTCCGGTATTATTTCTACAGGGCCATCACTATCAGATGTTGATTCATTTCCGGAAAAATGTGCACTAGTAGGACAGTCATCAGAATGTGGAATGTCATCAAGTATTACTGAATTGATTAACATCTCTTCATCGCGGGTCTTTTTAGAAATAAATCGTCTAAGAGTTCTGTTACTCTTCAGGCTTTTTGCTGACATATTATTTTCTAAAAACACTTAAAAGAAAGGCGTGAATAAAGCTTACCCAAACCTAACTTTTTTATCGATAACTTCAACACACTTCACTATCGGGTATTGAATGCACAATCCACAATATAGAGAACACTGAACACACGCTACGCTAATGAAATGTCTTCTCTATAATTTTAGTATCCACATTCAACTATTATTAAAAGTATTAAAATTAAACTCAACATTCAACAAGAACAACGAACAACATCGAAAACGTGGGTGGTTTTCTACGAAGAACAAGAAACAGGAAGCTTACCACGCCAGACTGCCAGACGCCTCTAATGACTTCCATATAAGCGGCATATGCGCCAGCGCCAATCAGAACGCATACTCTAAGTCACGTGACCTAAACTTTAAACCACAAGCAACTGATTATGAAAACATTTCCAGGCATTCCTTCCATATAACTTTAATTTCTTCTGCAGTTCATTCCCATTCAATTCGTTGTTTTTTCCTGTATTTTATAAGAAAAGAAAATAAAAACATAGGTCACTTGATTCACGGTATGTGTTCTGATTGGTCCATGCAAATCGCCATATTGGAATATTGGGCGATCTGCGCCTGCGCCAAGTATTCGTAGACGGCGAAGGACGATGATTAGAGTGTTAGCGATTTCCACTGGTAAAACTAGTGCACACTGAGTGTAAATATTTCTCTCTCTCTCTTCACCTGATGTCGAAGAAAAAGACAAAAATATAATGAGTGCATAAAAACTCAACGGGTTCTTGTCCAGTGGAAAACGCTATAAAAGATGTGCAGTTGTGAGTAGAGGTTAGAGATGGACTAATTTCAAATTCGTGAAACAATACCGTAGAAACCTAAGTGGTCTAATTTCCATGAGTAATAAGTGGTAATAACGACGCATATATAGGTTTGTTCGCGTTTAGGCACGGCCACCTAAATAAACAATCCGAAACAGTCAGATAAGCAAGCGCAATCCCACAGAACCCAAAAAAATCATATCGTTCTGTGAAACTGCGTGGTTTCGGACTGATTATTGAAAACATTCGAGCTTGATGTAAATAACCCCTGGTGTTTCTACTCTTCAATTGTTTTTCTTCAAAATGTGTGGATGGGTGATTGGTCATACTTTTATGAAACTCCTGTAGATGGCGGTTACATCGGTCTCTTATTTCTGTTTTGTGGCCCTGTGTGTTTCAAATATAAAATAAATTTTGTATTTTTTGTATAAATTTTATGGAATTGACTGAAGGTATTCGTCCATGTAAGCAATTAGAATAACCAGCATTCCAATGTCACATTAAACGGCACGCCATCTATTGATATTTCTCAGAAGGATCACCAATTTACCTGAAAATCGTAGATATCAAGTTGGCTTTGCCCCGATATGTACGCTGCCGATTCCATCCAGAACTTTCGTGCACGGTCTTTATCATTGACTAGCTACACCATGGTTATTTACATCAATCATTCGAGTTATATTATTTGTATGGACTTTTTCCATCAATATGCCATCATTGATATGGACTATACCTGCTTCCTCCAACATGGACATGGTGAAAATCAAGTTAATTGTAGCTGAAATTTCATTATTATTCTTTGTTAATTCATGTTGAATTGTTATGAACTTATTTTCTGGAACTAATATTCTTTGAAGTATTTATGGGAATATATCCCAAGATCCCTAGAATATGCTACAATATTCCTGGACAGATATGAAAAAAAGAACATTTATAGCAGTAAAGTACTCATGCTGGGAATATACTAGGGATATTATTCGGAGAATATGAATTGAAATATATCCTCAGCATGTGCTAGGGATATGAATATGCTTTGATTGCTGTGTGGGTTTTTGACATGACATAAGCACTCTAGTATGAAACAACACAGGAAAGTTCTGACTCGGAAACAGGGGTTTAGCTTGAGCCTCCCATTTAGCCTTACCCATAATATGTATCAAGCAATTGGATCTGAATGATTTCTGGCAGAATTACTATCGATAATATTGCGAGCACTTGTGGCATTACCCCCCAATATTCTGATCATCATTGATTTCAAGAAAACAACCTTTCTGATTCAAATGGAAATGAACATCCTGTCAAGATGACAAGATGTGACATGACACTCCAGAACATTCTGCTTTGCTATCATACTAATGGTATATATGGTTATCAAATTGTTGATGGTACAAAAGTAATTGAATTTTTCTGAAAAACGCGGCCTATTTGAAAAAAATCAATAACAAAAAGGCTGTTTTGAATGACCCCATATCCTATACCATTTCAGAATCTGTATTAAATGGGCAACTCTTTCTTATAATTGGTTATCTTTGTGAGGTAGTAAATCAACTTGAATATTTCATTCAATGACAAAATTAGAGAAAAAAAAAACATTTTTTTTTAATTAATTGATAAGAAGTAACACATGCCATAAAATTATATCTGGTGACAGGTGCATCCATGTGGATGAAATGTTTAAAAGAAAAAATCACAAGAGTGACAAAGTTTTATTGTAATTTTTTTTAGAAATTGAAGAAAAATCAATAATTCTTGAACCATCAACAATTGGATAACCATATATGAGTATGATTATTTGATTAGAAATGACCCCCCCCCCTACCATCACACTTCTTCTGATCCATGCCTTATGGGACACCCTGTATAGCAGTAGTTATGAATGAGTGTCTGCCAGTTTCAAAGGGGCCAGGTAGCCGTGCGGACAGAGTGTATATATTCTAATCCGCATACGCTTGTCGGTCGTGGGTTCGATTCCTGTCGACTGCAGAAATTTTTCTGCTGGCCCAAGAAAGTGTTTGGGATCACACGTTAAAAGGTAAGGCCCCCGTCATTCCTTGCTCGCACAAGACTCTCGAAGACTTCTGAGGGTTGCTCGTAAGGGGGCAACCGAATGACGGATAGAACAATTTTAGAACAATTTTAGGACAATTTAGAACAATTTTCATTTCAAACCCCATTTCCAATGCCTCATAGACAGGCATATTTCCTTTTCTATGACCCTGTAAATGTTTTGACCTAATCTTAGCTCACCGATTTCTTCATGTTTTCCTCTCATCACTGAGGAATTCTTCGAAAGAAGTCAAGACTTCTGTGGTGGACAAAGGAAATTCAAATTCCGCCCATATATTTTGGATTTCTAATATGATAGAAACGGGGGATCTATTCATGACCTTTTTTAGATCACACATGTCCATTTCGATATCTGTCAATTTCCGAATTATCTGTTTGAAAAAACCTGTGAAATTGGAAATATTATTGATAATGACAAAAAATCTTGAATATTGTGTTACCACTATTATTGGCAGCTTCATGCTTGTGGATTAGACAGCACGTAGATTTATCAATTCCAACATTGGTTGTAATATCAGATGATACTTCTTTTGCCAATGTGTTTGTAGAGCTGAAAACATTGTAATTTTTACATCGTTCTAACAATGGTGCACTGTTAGGAAATTGTAAGCAGATTGATAACATGACGAACAATTTTGAAGAGAAAAAGGTTAACTGCATATTTCTAGGCTAAAAATAAAACACATTTACAATAAATAACTATTCCACTTCTAACCAGATAAATCACCAATATTCGAACGTTTCCTCTAAGAAGAAGTAAACTTCTTTCAACCTAGGTGTATAATAAGAAAAAAAATTACCTAAGGTAAATCATGAAAAATGATCTATACTCTCAATAATTCAACCAGCAGACTGCATCACCAATAACATGATTTCAAGACAATAACTGAATAAATAACCTATGGATTCACTTCAGATGAATGAAAATATAGTTGAATATTAATGAAATAGGTTGATATGTCAGCGTTAGTAGTAAACGAAATTGCGCCCCAGGATATAACAGTGTTTACTATTTATGATATATACTGCTCACCCTGGGTGTATATTTCATTGTTCCAAATATATCTCAGAATGACGTTATAAATGCAATATGTCAATTATTATATAGTATTTCTTCTAACATCTTCAGCTCGCTCCTTCATCATCAAGTAGAAATAAGTTTCCTAGCAATGAAAAATTGTACTCACGCATGGTTGTTTGGTGATCCATGCTCTGTTGTACCTGAAATAACTAACTATGATGAGGCCAAAATATATTTCAATAGGAATAGAAGCAAAAAATTATTTTTTCATCTCAAATGGAATGTGATTTATTTTTCTACTTAGGTTCCTTTTTTTTGCTTGATATTTTCCGAAAACAGATTAAACATGGTGGAGATACTCTTGCTGTGTTTTAGATAAGACAGCCTATTTATACAGGCGCCTGTATTTCTAGCTAAACCCTCTAAGTGCTCTTTCACACGATCCGGTTTGCGCCGCGCGGCGCACGCCAAAGAAGCGTAATGTTTTCCCAGGTGGGCGGTTTCGCCCAGCGCGCGCTGCGCGGCGCTCCCGTATTCTGATTTGATAGTTCAGTCTCTTTGAGGCTCAGCTATTGAAATGTTAACATCTCGGAAGAAGAAAGTGCTAGCCATGTACTTGCTATGGAGACGGCGAATAAGAAGAAGAAATAGGCGGTTTTGGATTCACCCATTGCTTCAAGATCGACATACTTCTGGGTCCTTCAAAGTTTTATTCAATTCATTGCGGGAAAGTGAGGAAAGATTCTTCTCGTACTTTCGCATGTCAATCAAATCATTTGATGAACTTCATGACAAACTGAAAGACAAGCTGCAAAAACAAGATACAAACATGAGGAACTCCATCCAACCTATGGAAATGCTTCCCGTTACAATAAGGTGAGTTTTTGAATGTATTCGTAATTTGTATATGTAAATGTATTGTATATGTAATTTGAGGTTAGTTTATACAAAAACATCATTAATATATACATGGACAACATTCATTGTATGAGAAATATACAAACGTGTAATACTGTTACATGAGAATTTGATATTTTTACTTTGAAAAAATATTCCAATCATTTGAATCTCTCTCGAAATTCAAGAACAAGACACTTGATGCTGATGTAGATGTAGCACGATGCGGGGTTGGTGTCCGTGATGGTGGCGTTGGCTGCAGGTTGCTTGCTTCTTGACTGGTTTGTTGGTTCATTGGATAGTACTGTTCACTGCTGGTTGAGGTATGAGGGTGAATCGGACGAATATATGGGTTGGTGTAGGTATGGTTTGAAAATTGCGAAGGAAACGGCTGTTGATGAGGATAATACATGTTTGGAGGCTGACTTCCGGGATATGGGTGGTGGACTTGCTGGTATTGCGTAATAGGGACCTGGATGGTTTCTTGACCCTGTCCTTGGGCCTTGACGTTTTTTAAAACCCCGAGAACGCCGAGCTGAAATTCGACAAACTGGTAACCAGTAAAGGATTTTAATGTTGGAACCATACTCCTGAAGAAGCCAAAGTAAGTTTCTTCTTCGTCATACGGGTTTTCTAAGACTTTCATCATCTTCAGTTCGAACTCGTCTTCGTTTCTCTGCCTTTTTCTTGTTACCTTTGGTTTGTTTGGCTGAGCTAGAATACGAGTTCCAGGATC